ACAAATCAAACCAGAACACGAGAGAGATCCTCAGATATTGTACATACCCATCTACTGTATTGTAGTCAGACCAAAATCACAAAGCAAGGCACATGTTTCAAAGAAAAAGAAACAAACATTGCATTTAAAATGATAGAAAAATAATAAAACGTAACAACAAGAATTGCTTGTATTATACACATCGCCACACCTGGACACATGTAGGCAGAGGAAAATAAAAAACAAACGCTTCCTGGTTATATCCCAACATGGTATCCTACAATGGTTGATCGGCTTGGACCACTTTAAGCATGGAGAAGCAAACTGACTCAACACTCAGATTAGATCTGTTTACTTTGAAAAATAGTCTTCAGGATGACACACACATCATAAATACACTTCTTATTTTTTTTTTTTGCAAATATCCATATATATAATCTCTATGTGATCATAATTTAAATACCACAACTATTCTCTGAAGTCTTACTCGTTTATATGAGGAGTGTGGTCGGCTGCTGTCGCACTGTGAAACCTGGATTTTATTAATAAGCTGAGGTGCAAATGGAATATCAGAGTATTGCACCTGTGTGAGGAACTTAAAGGGGCACTCCACCAGTTTTACACATGAATATGGGCGTTCTAGTCCTGGTTAGTTAGTGCAGCTTTTTACCAGGTAGAGAGGGTCTAATGAAACACGAGGGCTGTACCAAATGTCAGTCATCTTACACTGAGACATCATCACCCTTAAAACTTTCCAAAAGGTAGAAGACAGGGGGACGACTGTGTCCAAAATCCAGCAGCTTTACGACAACACATGGGACAAAATTTCCTTTGAACTGATTTTAAAATACTTTCACAGCAAAAATGTATGTATGCAATTAATTTAGATTAATTAATCGCAGAGCATGTAAGTAATGTCTTGCCTTTTATTACATTTTTTGTTGGCTTTGTTGACTTTGCTAACGGCTAGCCGTTAACATGCGGGAACATAGTGTCCTCTGCCCCCCCTCTGGTCTCTCCTGGTTGGCCAGTGTTAGCCTTGGCTGCTCTACAGTACGTACCACCGTTAGAGGCGGGCCCCTGTTCATTCCTGTAAAAGCTGCTCAGTGGCGCATGAAGCCAAAAAAGCTCTATCTTCCTGATCTTAGGAATTATGGTGCCAATAGAGCAGGTGTAGGCCTACTAGCGACGTCCACTAGCTGAACAGCTAACTTGCGGTTTAGTGCTCCGCTAACTTAACTGGGGATAAAACAATTTAATTGTGTGGCTCTTCTAGACTTTTAAAATGTTATTAGATCGAATGGGTCCAATCCCCATAGTGAAACAAGTCATTAGCGGGGATGTAACGTTTAACAAAATGTATCCGCTGATCCACAGACGTCTCCTCCACAATGTATGTCTTTGGAAAAAAAGTCCTTTTGGCCCTATGACATCACATAACTGTGTAGTTCCACTTTGAACACGATGTTGAATTGGCTTCAAAGCCCGGCGCTCTTACTGGGGGCTTGGTACCACCTGGAGTGGTGCCACTCATTGGGCTGTGGCAACATGGTGGCCACCCTTCGATCTCCCCCACATATCTCTCTGGTGAGAAAGCAGCTTCCTTTTTTTTTTTTTTTTTTTTTTTTACCACAAACCCCCTTTGGCATTGTTAACTTTGTTAGCACCACTAGCGATGCTAATTGTGCTAACAGTGCTAACATCGTTAACAATGCTAAAGGGGGCAAAATTAAGCTGCTTACTCAGTGGAAGACCTCAGAGGAAGACTGGAAAGTGGGCATATTGTTAACATAATTAACTTGTAGACTGACATGCATAACCAGCCAAAAATATTCAAGGCTGTTAACCAATGACATCCCTAATTAAAGCAGAATATTTCATTACATATAAACGTTGTGAATTTTGAAAATGATTACATCTTTTTTCCCCCAATAAAACTCAGAATTATGGACTTAAAAACACCCTGGAGTTATTATAAATTTTTGAATCACACGAGTTTGCAGCCACCACTGGAATCCAATTCAGCAAATAGTATAATACTAATACAGTTAGTGTAGTCTAATTCAGTGGTTCTCAACTAATTCGGCCACAGGGTTCAGATTTCTTCTTCTTCTTCTCTAAGTTAAAGGTCCACACAGTTTAACATATTCAGTGTCATACTTGCGTTCAAGCTAGTTTGCTGTCTTTGTTAAGTATCTGTCTGTTAGTCATTCACTCTACAGCAGGAATCGGCACTTCGGAGTAAAAGCTATGTGCCCGACTTGTCATGTTTGTTGTGTCATTTGCGGTTTATTAAGAGTGGACCCACTTTTGGGCCACGACCCACCAGTTGGGAACCTCTGGTCTGATCTATATCTGCACCTGTGCAGAAATACAGGGTTTAAACTGACTGAACAAACATGCAAAACAAGCATTTAAATATTGATTTGGAATTTTGTCAGTGTCATAAATGAAGATTTGAACCACTTGGTACAGCCCTGTGAAAGACATGAGTTGCATCATGGGTAGTGTAGTATCCAGACTCTTTATGGAGGTGTGATGCTGAATCACTGGGGTGCCCCTTTAAACATGAAACCATCCAGCTTCACAGATGTCTGCTGCCGCTCGCACTTTTTTTTATTTTTATCCCATGTCATGGCAACACACTGTCGTAACCATGGTGATGCTGATGAGGATGGTGAGGGTGATAATGTAGATTGTCATGGCAACACGGGGTGGGTGGTTAGGAGCGTGTGGGACGAGAGAGAGGTGGAGATGGAAAGAGGACGGTCGTCCATCGAGGTGTCAGGGAGGACGTGATGTGATCTACGTTTTATTTCCTGCTGAGAAGATTTCAGGGATTCTGGAAAGTTTTGGATCTGAATATACGAGTGAATACGGGGCCTTAAAGTAGGGATGCACCAGTATCTGACCTCAGATCCAGATTCAGTCAGATCCATGTTAAATAGTGTTATAAAATTAAATGTTTCCTCTATCACTTACATTCACTCACCAGAGGCAGGCTGCTGACCAACAGGTTTTAACACACCTATAAAAATAAAAGCCTGCTCATAGATTCAGGATTTCTCAATGAAGGAGAAGCAACACTTGTAGTTCTGATTTTTTAACATGGTAAATTATTTTTTAGAAACAAATCACTGTTGAAATGAGAATGATTAATATGTCTGAGTAGGACTTTTAAATTCTGGGACAAAGGGAGCACAAATACTGGATCGTTAATCTGCATCATCTGATAATTTAAATTAAAGGGTAACTTTGGTATTTTTCAACCTGGACCCTAATTTCCCCGTTTTCTTTCTTTCTTTTCCTTCAAAGTGCGATTAACAGTTTTTGAAATAGCGCTGCAGCCTGTAATCCAATGTAATCCTTCAGGGCAATTAGCGACTCGTCAATGAACGTCCACTAAAAGTGTTTGTTTTTGTCACTTGTTATTCTTGTATTCACTTGTTTTTGTCACTTTCACACCTGCCCTGTTTGGTTCGGTTCAATCAAACTCTGATTTGCCCCCTCAGTGCGGTTGGTTTGGGCAGGTGTGAACACAGCAATCACACTCAGGTGTGCACCAAAACAACCGGACTGAGACCTTCTTGAAGAGGTGATCTCAGTCCGGTTCCAAAGGAACTCTGGTGCGGTTGGTTTGTGGTGAGAAGGTGTTCCGACCTGGATCCGAACCAACCAGCACTTCACCCACCTACAATGCGGCCTTGAGATCCCTCCCCAGACGACTTGACACCCATTCACACCTGGACCCATCCGACCCTAACGACACACACGATGGCCAGGTGGGTCAACGACTCAGAGACTCTGCACCGGTCCGTTAGAACTGAAGAAGCTTCTTGGATGAGAGGTTAAACGTCTTCAAGAAACTCAAGTGAGTCCAGGTGCCTACGATACAGCACTAATGGTTACCATGACCTGGATGACTGAGAATCGCCACCAATATATTTCTGGTTTGTTCCATTTTTTAAATGTCGTCTTCTACACTCGTATCTCGCTTGAACTACGTTAACGACCACGATCTCTGCTCAGTTTCTTCCGTAAGCTTTTAGAAAGCGTGCACACATACAGAGGAAATCAACACAGCGTTTGGACAGTCTGTCTCCGAGTGCACTGATTCATAAACACACGTCATACGTCACTCCCCACATGCCATCTACAAAACACACCCTCCCAATTTGGCGGTTTATTTAAGCTGCAAAATCTCCCGAGTTCTCCCTTTGCTCTGTCAGTGCTGTTGCTGCCCTGCTTGCTCTTTCAGCCCTACCTCCACCCCAGCATCCACCAATTAATCTAATCATCACTCCCCCATATCTCATGTAAACACATCTGCAAGGAGCGATGAGGTCGCCAAACTCTGACTATGTTCTGCTGTTGAAATAAACATTTAAATGTGAGATGTCTGACTGAACTGACACCGTGCGTAAATGAGACGTACGTTAGCGCTGCGCTCACACCGAGTGGTTACATTGCAGGTGGTTTCGCCCCTCGCTGGCTGCAACGCTCTCAATACGGGAACAATTTAAAAACTATTGTTCCCATTAGACACAAAACAGGAAAAATAAAGTCCAGGTTGAAAAATTTCCCTTCAAGGTACTGGAAGAGGAAAAGTTGCATCAATCCATCCCTACTTAAAAGTGTTTGAAAATAGTCAAAAGGTTTTCAGTTTTCTGTGCGTGTTGCTGGATCCTTGTTTTCTTCAGAGATAACAGCAGGTATCAGGAATGATTTGAAACCGTTGGGTCAAACTGAGTTCCCATCTCCCTGTAGCCACATGTGTCTGACCCTGCTGCTTGTGGTGCAGCTGAGTCCAATCTGACCTTTGACCCTTCCTCCTAAAATCTTCACCACCTCCACTTTGCTAAAACCTTGCTCCCCTTTAACAACATCCTGAAATCCTTCATTCAGACAACCTGCTGTCGCCTTCCTGCAGCTTCCTTTCCTCTCACTGGGTTCATATTGTGCAGACTCCCCGTGTGTGTGTGTGTGTGCAAGCTGGCTGCATGGGTCATTGTGCTTCTCCTGTGTGTGTGTGTGTGTGTGTGTGTGTGTGTGTGTGTGTGTGTGTGTGTGTGTGTGTTGGGGGTGATGATGAGGATGCAGCAGAGTGTTTTGAACGCAGCCAGGACTGAATCTGATCCTGAAATTCCAACATGCTCTCACGCACACATCTGTCACACTGTCCCTATCTCACACACTCACACACTCTCTCTCTCACACACACACACACACACACACACACACACACACACACACCTCAGGAGCTGAATAGTCTCGTTTTGGTCACAGATAAAAATCTTTCCACCAAGTCATTTACATCGTCACAACACCAGAGGTCACCATTCCACACAGAACCAAGACATCAAACCAAAGAGCTAGAGATTCATATTTATCGGTATATTATATATATTACTGTGCTAATGCAGGACTTTTTCAGTAGATATAAACTCTCCATGCTTAGAATGTACACATACCAGACTATGATTCATACACAGTTGGTTTTTCAATCAGTATTAGTTTAGTTTATTTGTTCGCCGTCGGAGCTTCAAGAGTCCGTGTGGAGTTCTGAAAAGACCCACGTTTTGATTGCAGTCTCCTCCATCTTGTTGCATTTCTTCTTCGTCTCTCTGTCTTGTGATTTTTTTTTTCCTCTCCACATCAGTCCTTTTTTTTTGTTTCATTAAAGCCTCTCTCTTTGTCAGCGTCTCTCTCTTCATTCTCTCTGCCACACGTCTGTCCAGGCTTGTGGCGCTGCTCCGTCATTTTCATCGTCAGCGACAGGAGATGAGAGGAAGAGGAGGAGAGAGGAGGTGTTCCAGAGCAGCAGCGATAGACGGACGGATGGACGGACGGACAGCAGGAGGAGTGAGAGGGGGATGAGCACGACAGAGAAAGGAGGATGAAGAGAGAAAGAGAGAGGAATAGAGAGGCATGTTGTTGCCCATTGTGCCGTCTGAGTCACTCCTGATGCAACGTTGCCGTGGAGACACGCTGACTGGTTTCTGTGGTTACTCCAACATGGCGTCCAGCTGGTCGGCCAGGTCGTCGAACATGCTGCCGATGTCGTCGAGGATGCTGACCGTGGTCTTCTGCTCGGCCACAGAGCTAAACACACACACACACACACACACACACACAGAAGCACAACTTCATAACAGCGAAGGGGAACAATTCAGGACCGGGACACTCAGTTTATGTATTTCAATATTTCAATGATAACAATAATTGACGAGGATTCAACTGACCCTTTGCTAAGTCCCGCCCCCGGACGCAGACTGGCCAATGATAACGTAGCGGCAGGCCAGCTCAGACCAGGGTCCGACAACAACACAGCTGTGCTCCATTGACTCTAATGCAGTCGCTTCAGGTTTCCTTCATTTTCAGTCATTTTTAGTTACAGTGTGGGCTCCGTGCTGACTGCAACAGCTTGTCGGACCATCACAAAGGGGCGGGGCTTAGCAAAAGGTCAGTTTCATAGTTATTTAAAACATGTGGCCAGTGCATTAGTAATTTAACTGTTCTAAATTATCTCACGACTTAACTTAAGTTTCAATACCCTCCGCATTGGTCTGTGATCGGGAGCACTGATCTTGTATTGCAGTGTAGAGCAAGTCCTAATATCATAAGTATGCTAAGGAAAGGTATTTGGTCATAAACCAAGTCCATCCATCCATTTTCATCCGCTTTTCCGGAGTTGGGTCGCAGGGGCAGCAGGCCAAGCAAAGCACCCCAAACGTCCCTCTCCTCAGCGACGCTTTCCAGCTCCCCCTGGAGGACCCCGAGGCGTTCCCAGGCCAGATGAGATATATAATCCCTACAGCGTATTCTGGGTCTGCCCCGGGGCCTCCTACCAGTGGGACGTGCCCAGAACACCTCTAACAGGAGGTGTCCAGGAGGATCCTGATCAGATGTTGAACCACCTCAACTGACCCCTTTCGACGAGAAGGAGCAGCTGAGCTCCCTCCAGATGTCCGAGCTCCTCCCCCTATCTCTAAGGCTGAGCCCAGACACCCTACAGAGGAAACTCATTTTAGCCGCTTGTATCTGTGATCTCATTCTTTCAGTCACTACCCAGAGATCATGACCATAGGTGAGGTTTGGGACGTAGATGGACCAGTAAATCGTAAGCTTTGCCTTCCGGTTCAGCTCCCTCTTCACCACAATGATCTAGCACAGTGTCCATGTCACTGCAGAGGCCGCACAAAACCACTGATCTATCTCACGCTCCATTCTACCCTCACTTGTGAACAAGACCCCAAGATACTCTAAGTCCCTCGCTTGAGGGAGCAACTCTCTCCCATCTTGGAGAGGGCAATCCACTGTTTTCTGGCAGAGGACCATGACCTCAGATTTGGAGGTCCTGACTTTCATCCCATCCGCTTCACACTTCAAACTGCCCCAGTGCATGCTGGAGGTCACACTGTGAGACGCTAACAGAACCACATCATCTGCAAAAAGCAGAAACACAATTCTGAGGTCCCCAAACCGGACCCCTTCCTCCCCTCGACTGTGCCTGGAGATCCTGTCCATGAATATCACAAACAGGATTGGTGACAAGGGACTACCCTGGTGGAGACCAAGAACATGTTTGAGTTTGTGTCGAGTATGCAAACACAGCTCTAACTTTGGTCATACAGGGACCAAATGGCTCGTAGCAGTACCCCCCCACAAGACTCTCAGAGGGACGCGGTAGTAAGTCCACAAAGCACATGTAGACTGGATGGGCAAACTCCCAAGACCCCTCCAGCAGCCTCGCAAGGGGATAGAGCTGGTCCACTGCTCCACAGCTCCTCCTGAATCTGAGGTTCAGACCCTCCTTTCCAGCACCCTGGAATAAAGTTTTTCTGGGAGGCTGAGCAGTGTGATACCCTGATAGTTGGAGCACACCCTCCTGTCCCCTTTTGTGAAAATGGGAACCACCACCCCGGTCTGCCACTCCACAGGCACCTGATAATGAAGTTTGTATCTGTGAAATTTGTTTGTGTGAGTATAAGTGTGTGTGTGTGTGTGTGGTCCTTACTCATCCTGCCGCAGTATCTTATCCTCCACAGCCTGCAGAGCCGCTGCCAGTGACGCACTCGTCTCCTCCAGTTTCTGATGCACCAAAGAATCCACACTGAAGTCCGGCGTTGTCGCGACCGGCGCCGTCACCCCGCCTCCTGACATCCCGCTATCCACAGACACACCCCCAATGGAGGAGCGAGGGGGCTTGACAGGTGGTGGGGTCGGGCTGGGAGTGGCAGGGGTCTGGGGCGTCTGTGGTGTGGGCGGGGTCTGCGGGGTGTGGGGGCTCTGGGGAGATGGGCTCAGTGGCTTGGTGTTTGGCGGGCTGGGGATGTTGGAAGGGGGGAAGCAGGGGGGTGAGCTGGTCTGTCGGGCCATCGCAGGGTGCTGCTTCACTGGAGCGTTCGCCGGATTCGGGGCCGGGGTCGGAGAGGGGGGGCTGGTCATCGAGTGGATGAGCTTAGCCGGTTTGGGTGCCGTGGGCGGAGGCGTCGGTTTAGGCGAGACAGGAGGAGGGATCTTCTTTCCTTCCACTACAGAAATAAAGAGAGGAAAAAGAGAAGTGTCGGATCACTGAGTGCGTCTACATCCTGACATATGACGCAGCCTCAGAATGAAGGAACATTTTCATAATCCGCAAGAATGTGGAACAATCATAGTTCTTGTGGACTCCCCAAGTTTGGCATTTTGGCTGTCGCCATCTTGGATTTTTGGAAGCAGAAGTGGCCATATTTGGACAAGAGGGTGCAGCTAACCCAACCACTAACTGTTAGCTTGATTAGCAAGGTGCATTTACCAACAGTTTGTACTGCTGACTGTGTCTCGGCGCTTTTTATGACGGCAGACCCAGTCTTTCACTGCGGTCATTTGCAGCAGCCATAAACGCCAAGATATTAATTTTACTACAGAGCACCAGCAAATTTAAAATGATAACCTCGTCCTCGCCCCCACCTGACACAAACACACATCACCCTGTAAGTACCTGGGCTTCCAGGCGTCCCCGGGCCCGGCAGGGGGACTCTCTTGTTGGAGACAGGCTGCGGGGGCGTTGGTGGACCTCCCTGTCTCTTAATCTGAGCCACAACAGGCTTCGGGGAAACCGGAGGCTTTGGTTTTCTCATTGGACCTCCTTCATTGGCCACTGGAGCTGATTGGTCCACAGAGTCCCGGCGAGGAGCAGCCGTTACTTGTTGCGGTTGAGGCTGAGGTTGCGGCTGCTCCGTCACTCCAGTATCAGACACCGGGCGGCGTTTCACTGTGGCTGTGCCGTTCTGGTACGGCACTGGCTGCGTGGTGTTCGGCTGCCCAGTCGCCACAGGCTCTCCGTTGGCGGCCATGTCTGTGTAGCCCTCTGGCTCCTTGTCGCGGCTCTTGGGCCGTCGCTTGACGGTGGACGACTCCTGGAGGGTGAAGTCGGAGCCATTGGGGTGGGGCTTGGAGCTGCTGCGGGGCCGTCGCTTCAAGGTCCCTGTGCCCTCGACCCTGGAGATGTCCTCCTGCGCGTAGCCTCCGTCTCCCTGGGGAGCCTCGCCGTCGCCCTGCAGACAGACACAAAATACACACTAACGGAAAATTCATACATTCGTGACAAGAGGTCATTGCACAAACAGTCAAAGCATCGACAAAGATCAATGGATAGCACGAATAAAGCTTACAGAACACAGAAGCTCCGATATGGACTCGTAAAACGTTTAAGCACATTTAATTTTAGCACGTAACGTTACATAGAAACATGATGTCGATATAATATTTACATATATATAGATCAATAGACGGACAAACATGTATATAGATAGCTACCTGTCCTTCTCCTTCTCCTCGACCCTGGCGGCGGATGGTCAGATTTCCCTCGTCTGCAAATGGCAGGTTCTCCGATGAGCTGCCGCTGCCTCCCGAGCTAGGGTGGGGGGAAGACGGAGGGTTGGGGGAGGAGGAGTTTACAGGGGGAGGGGAGGTTTCAGGCTGGACGGAGGGAGCGGGGAAAGCAGAGGGAGCTGGTTGGTCACGCCTGGCAGCCGCCACTAGCTCCGTTACTGGGCCACTAATGGTCCGCCGTCTGTTCACCACTTCGCCATCCAGACCAATGGCGTCACGTGTTTTTCCCACCTGGTAAACAAACAAACATACAAGTGGTTAATTATGCTTTGATCATTAATTATATTTGTATATTTTTCATTTTTAGAGAAACACAATTTTTTTTTCACCTGCAGGAAGTTTTTCTGCAGCGCCATGCCTTTGGCTCCACCCCCTATGGAAGACATCTCCAACATGGCGGCGATGCTCCTCACACTACCCACGCTGCTCGTCTCCACATTAGCGGCCTCCACAGACACTCCCAGGTCGCTGGCCCGTCGCTGTTGGTGGTAAGGCACGTCCAGCATCCCCCCCGTGGTGGTGACCATCTGCGGCTGCGCGTTCGCTTCTGTCAGGTTGGAGTTGGAGGTGGAGATCGCAGAGCTAGAGCGTTTGGGCGGCGGTGGGGGCGGGCCTTTTTTCTTCTGACGCAGAGCAAACGACTGCGTCTGATTCCGGCCGACGGTCTTGTCCTGGTTGCGGACGGAGTGGCTGCGACTGACGCGGTGGGTCACCGTGGCGTACTTAACTCCGTCTGCTCTGACGACGGCAGAGCCCTGACCTCCCACCACCTCTGCATCTCCCTCTCGTCCTCCGCCTCCACCTGCCCTCTCGTCACACTCACCGTCTGAGACAGCGTATCGGTTGAGGCTGTGGGCGCGTTTCTTCTGGAGCGCTGAAGGCTCTTCTTCTCCCTCAGCCAGCTCCGCCTCTGGTGGGAGGCAGAGGACCGGGACCTGTTGTTGTTGTTGTTGTTGTTGTTGTTGTTGCTGTTGCTGTTGTTGTTGTTGCTGTTGTTGTTGTTGGTTCTCCCTGACCTCCATCACCTGTGTCTGTGGGTGGTGCTGAGGGTGCGCCTGGTGCTGCGGCTGGACTTGAGGCTGCTGTTGTTGCTGAGGCGGAAGCTGGTTACATGGTGGTCCGCGTTGGGTTGGAGACTGAGGAGGGTGGGAGCGCGGCGACTGAGGTCTCTCCCCCTGGATGAACTGAGGGGACGGCTTGTGTTTGGCCTGCGGGGAAGCTGTGCTCTGGACGGAGGAGGTGGACGAGGAAGAGGAGGTCCTGGTCTTGGTGGGGGTGTGAGGCGGCGTGTAGGGAGGCGCAGGCTGCGAATGGGAGTGGGAGTGACGGTGTTTGCCTTGAGAGGAGACGCTGCCTCTGTGAGAGGAGGTGCTTCCCTGGCTGCTCTGCTGCCTCATAGTCCGCGCCTCCTTCTTAGGTGGCCCAGCACCTCCTCCTCCTCCTCCTCCACCTGTCATCACCTCATCGTGGTCTTTGCTGCGTGTTCGCTGAGCTTTGACCTCCTGACCTGGCTGGGTCATGGCACTCTGTAGCTCGGTGCTCAACTCGCTGTCCTGGAAAGTGCTCATCTTTGGAGACATGATTTCTGAAACAAAGAGACAGGAAGCAGCACAATAAGTCAATCAGATCAATATGAATATTAATCTGAACAGGAGAGGAGGTCCTGACTGTGTTGCGACAGAGATAATTAACGTTTTGACCACTGAAAACTATCATGTGTTTGCTCACCGTCTGGAGGCGGGCTCTCCATTGACATGACGTCCTGCTGCTGTGTGATTGGCGGGGGTTTCTTTCTGAGGGAGCCCCGCCCATCTGAACTGCGCTGCATTTCAGCCAGTCGCTTCACCGCCAGCATCAGCTTCTTCTGGTGGCCTGAAGTATTGACAGATTGGAATTACAGTTCTTGTTTAACTAAGAAAACCTTGTCTTGGATCACTTTAAATATTTGTTTTTACCTCAAGAAAATATATTTTCTAGTATTATGTCTATTACATCATCATGAATATAAAGTGTTTTAAAAACATTAAAAAAAGTGACAGTATGTAATCTAAAAAAGAATTAATAAAATAATAAAAATGTCATCATAAAACTTATAGCAAAGTATTAACTTTCAATAAATGTCATATGTCATAAAAAATCCTAAAAATGTCATTGAAATATTCATTGATTTTAATAAACAGTCAAAAAATCATAAAGATGTCATAATATAGTATGTCATGAGAATTTCATAAAATATCCAAATATAGTATATTATAAAAGATTCATAAAAATGTCAAAAAAATGTCAAAACATTCAAACAAATGTCATAGTATGTCATGTAAAAAAAAATCATAAAAATGTCATAGTATAGTATTTCATAAAAAAAATCATAGTATATCATGTAAAACTAATCCTAAAAATGTCATAGCATTATATCTAAAAAAATCCTAAAAATGTCATATTATGTAAACAATTAATGAAAATGTCATAGTATAGTATGTCATAGAAATTTCATAAAAATGTCCAAGTATAGCATTTATAAAAAAAATCATAAAAATGTAATTGTATATTATCTAAAAAAAAAAATCTTAAACTGTCATAGTTTATCATGTAAAACAAATCATAAAAATGTCATATTATGTCAAAAAATCATAAAAATGTCATAGTGTAGTATGTCTTAAGAATTTTATAAAATGTCCAAATATAGTATTTCATAAAAATGTCATAGTATAGTATTTATAAAAAAATCATAAAAATGTAATTGTATATTATCTAAAAAAAATCTTAAACTGTCATAGTTTATCATATAAAAAAAATCATAAAAATATCATAGTATAGTATTTCATAAAAAAATCATAGTATATCATGTAACACAAATCATAAAAATGTCATATTATGTAAAAAATTAATAAAAATGTCATAGTATAGTATGTCATAGAAATTTCATAAAAATGTCCAAGTATAGTATTTATAAAAAAATCATAAAAATGTAATTGTATATTATCTAAAAAAAAAAATCTTAAACTGTCATAGTTTATCATGTAAAACAAATCATAAAAATGTCATATTATGTCAAAAAATCATAAAAATGTCATGGCATAGTATTTTATAAAAAAAAAATCATACAAATGTCATAGTGTAGTATGTCATAGAAATTTCATAAAAATGTCCAAGTAGAGTATTTCATAAAAATTTCATAGTATATCATGTAAAACAAATCATAAAAATGTCATAGCATTGTATCTACAAAAAAAATCTTAAAATGTCATAGTATAGTATGTCAAAAAAAAAATCATAAACATGTCCAAGTATAGTATTTTATAATAAAAGAAATTAATAAAAATGTCATAGTATAGTATGTCAAAAAAAATCATAAACATGTCCAAGTATAGTATTTTATAAATAATTTCATAAAAATGCCTTAGTATACCATGTAAAAAAAAATCATAGAAATGTAAATAAAAATGTCATAGTTTATAAAAAAACAACATAAAAATGTCAGTGTGTAGTATGTCATAAAAAATCACAAATATGACATGGTATAGTATATATTTTAAAAATAAATAGCATTAAATAAATTTCTTAAAAATGTCATAAAAAAGTTGGTCCAAAAAAAATTTAAAAAAAATGGAAGAGTATATTATGTCATAAAAATAATTTAAAAGAACAGTGTGGCATAAAAGACTTTCATAAAGAAGTCATAATACAGTATGTGGAAAAAAAAGCATTTTTTGGACACATTAATGTTTACGACAGGTCTGACCCTGGCCTCTAAGCTGGCAGAGTCCTGGAATAAACTGCTGTCCATAGTGCTGCTGAGTCTTGTTGGCAGACGCTGACACATGCAAAGGGGACGCTGTTACCATCATGGTGGTCACGTGTTCCACTGTAAGAAACATGTATTGAATATCTCACCAAGTTTAATGATGCCTATTTCCTGCAGGTCCTCCCAGGTGATGTCAGTGATGAACTCAATGTTCTCGTAACCGTTCTGCACCAACACCTGGTGGTACTGGCTCAGACCAATAGCAGACAGCCACTCTCCTAGATTGGCCTATAGGAACACCAGAAACAAGACTGCTCACCAGGCTCACCCAAACCTCCGCTGTAGGCAGCTGTTAAACAGGCGGAGCATCTAACTGGTCACTATTGTGTTGTGTGTGTGTTGAATCGTACTCACAGGTTTGTGCTCAGGCAGCCACTCACTGACACTCAGCTTGTTGATCTCTGATGTCATCTTCTTTCTGTGACCTGGTTTAGTTATTCCGATAGCTGTCAGATCCTACACGCACAAACACACAACACAGACGAGTCAGATACAGCGGTGGCGTGTTCACAAAGTGAAGTAAAATCTCCCCACGACTCCAGCAGTCTTTCAAACACATACACACACACACACACACACACACACACACAGAGGAAAACTTGCAGCACAAAGAAACGAGTGACAGCGTGATATCTGATGAAAGCCTCTGCCAGTTGGGAACAGAGCAGAAATGTGAATGTCTCCAAATCATAAGAGAAGCAAGGAAAGCAAAAGCAAATGTCTGCAGTGAAAAAGAAGCCTCTAGAATCGAACCTTTAAATTCAGCTCCATCTCTTTCTGCGTGATGAGGAAACAAGCTCGTACTCATACAGTGTATTGAAATGTGTGCAGATTTATTTTGAGCTGTAATTACCAAACAAATACGGTGCATCATACTGTCGTTGCCTGTTTACTCATGTTTCTGTGTATTTCAGTAATGGACACACAAGAACACACTTTTACAAACATACATGAACAATCACACTCACCCCACTCACACACACACGGTTACATAACTCATAAACTATATGCAGCTGCGACTCAAACACACTCCATGAGGCCAGAGTACTACGACATATCTCTGATAGTAAAACCCTTTTAAAGTCAGCTCAGCTCCAAACCATTCAGCATGCACATGTACGTATAGATACAAATAATTCATGTCTGCTATAAATTATTTGTATGTAGGTGAGCGTGGCAGAGCGTCGGTCTGGTTCCTCTGAACAGGCAGCAGCAGTGTTGAAGGTGATGGGAGGGTCAGGAGGCTGTTTCTAATTATTCATTCCTTTATTTAATTTTCTCTTTTTAGTTTGTACTTCAGACTGAACCCTGACTACAGTGTGTGTTTTAAGAACTTGCCTGGTGCTATTTGAACATGTATTTACTCATCTAAATATTTAGCATTGAGGGGTACTCAGACGTTTTAGCACTTCACTTTCACTTAAGGTGCTTTCACACCTGCCCTGTTTGGTTTGGTTTAATCAAACTCAAGTTCCCCCTCAGTGCGGTTGGTTTGGGCAGGTGTGAACACAGCAATCACACTTGGGTTAAACATGAGCATGTTACAGTCCTGGAGGATTATTAATGTGCACCTCCTCCTGTACTGCCTTAATATGCACATTCAGCACATCCAATGCATCAAAACATTGTTTTCTAGTTGGAGCCGCGCCTCGTTTTCAAACTGTATGGTTTGACTAAAATGAACAATGACAGCAATATAGTCCACGATGAGCAGCGCTAAAATCAACCTGCGTAGTTGTCCCTCCATTGTGACATTAGAAAGTGTCACATTTATCTTGCAAGTGTACTCTTCTTCAACGTTTGCTTTACTTCCTGGATTTTTCCCACATGGAAATTCTGACCAATCAAGAGCAGCTTTCTCACACAAGGCATTTGATCTGGTCCTCTTGTAAATGCTGCCGTGAGAACACCAACCAACTCTAGGCAATTATACAACTTTGTGACAACATGAGTCCCTGATTCAGACCAAAGGAGACCACTCTAGGTCTGACAGCAGCCTAATGCCCTCTATACTCTGTGCAATCATTGCATGACACACTGTGAGACGTGGATCTAATAAACTTTGGTACGACGTCAAGTTTGATGTGTGCAGATTGTACGATGGTCGTTTACTACTGAATCGCAGGTTATGGCGTACGTCAATATGCACCGCATCAGCGTATGTAATCCATCTGCGCCACCAAGTTGCAGTTCCTCCGCAATTTCCTTCCATGCAGCGTCTTTTTTCTGGCGGTCATGATAGCAGCTGGAGGAAACATCAAATCACCAAGGCTTCTGCTGCCACAGCTCCACCAAACTTCCCTCTTTCTGGGAGTTCCACAGACTTCTTTTTGTTCGTTTTACCTCCATGGCAAGCGATCATTTGTTTGGGTTTAGCGCCGGTGTCGCGGTGACCATTGTGTCATTTCGTGCTGCATTTCTATTGGTTGATTAGTAGACGTAGGTCGTAGCAGCTGTCACACTGTGAGATAGTCATCCTAAATTTCCGACACCGTCAGAATTTTATCTCAGGTTATCTTTGGTCGCAAGACGTTGACAACGGCCGGCCTTGAACCTGTCTCACACTGTGACGTAAGACCACTGTTTTAGAGCCACGACCAAAGATATCGCCACGTTTCTCCCACGATGGTCATCTTTCGTCTGGGACAGCCCAAAATCGCACAGTGTATACCGGCCATAAGTTATGGGGCTCATAAGAGACAGATAAGAACAATAGATCCTACGTTGCCCATAATGCAAATTTAGCACATTTTTCATTGGACCCTTGCTGCCTGCTTAAGGTCCAAGTCTTTAAAACTTGACACTCCAAGTTCATCGCTTGCTTAAGACCTTAACACACCAGGGGCGTGACGAATGAATGACACAAAAAAGTGAAATACTCGCCTGCCAAGTGTTTGAATCAAAACTGTTCCTACCAGCAGTGATGCAACTTTGTGGGAACTACAGTCTGAGGTAAGTTGTTGTACATCCAGACCTACTGTACGCTATTTTATTGAGTTTCCTTGTAGCAAAATGCTCTGAATGCAAGTTCCCTCTAGTAAACAGTCACTTAGTGTTTGTCTAGAGCTTTTATTATGAAGGGTAAGAACAGGAAGAATGGATCTAATATATAGATGGTATGTAGATAACCTGACAAACTCTTATAGTGTAGATGACGTGACATGACTGACCAAATCTGGATAGGTGAAGAGAGGCAATAGTTCTCAGAACTGGTTATCAGAATAACAGAAACAGCAGCTTAAGTGACAGGAAGCACCTTTTAATGTGTATTAGAAAGCTTGTGGGTGTGTCAGCTGATACTGTTGTTTGTCACTATCATGATGCACCAATTCTTTGGCTTTCTTGTGAGTAAACCCTCAAATGTCCAACCCCTTTGTGTTTCGAGTCTCTTTATTCCACAACAATATGTGTTGCCTTTTTCAAGGATGAAAGGAGTAATAAAGTTTACGGTTTTGGTTCAGACTACAGAGCCTCTGTGTTGTGGGTATCGGCCGACGTTTGCCTTATTGACTGCTATGGGCCTATCTGCAAATAAGATAACGCATCAGGGAATACATCCTTTTTTTCCTGGTAATGCAACAATGTGAACAACAAGTTCATGTTGTTGATGGCAGGAGGAGAGCTAATAAATGTTATTTGTTAGCAGCCGGTGGCCGTAACTAACAGCGATCGCAACAATTAATGCAAATTCAACCAGTTCCTGTAAATTATGTGCAACTTTTCCACAAATCTGACCAACTCAGCGAGTAACCAAATTCACTTTCTTGTTTCTGGTTGTGAAGTTTCAGACGTGTTTGACACAAACGTCTCATATTTAACAACAAAAATTACTGCTTAAGACCTTGCAAGGTGATTCCCTGATGTGTTTAAACATGGTGTGAGCCTTTCTGGTTAGGGTCACTTGCCATCTTTTTCTCACTGGAACAACTTGCTTTAAGTTTTTTTTATTGATTATCCAAAAAAGCAACTATTTTGGCAATTCCAATGCAAAAAAAAAAAAAAGTCTAGGAAAAGCTGCAGTAAAATGAGACACTTTAAGCCACAATTATCCCAGAAAGACAGTGGAAAAACGTGTTTAATTTGCATTTCTAATCTGTTCAGTCTTCTGAATATTTTCAATCTACTTTACTCACATGTTGAAAATACTCAGAGGCATGATAATATTTTTCTGTAAATGGTAATGTGCAGTTTTAAGACCAGGAATATTTTAACAGGGGTCAGAGGGAGACGCAGGTGACAGGGAAGAGGTGGAAGGTTTGGCAGGAGGTGGGAGGGGTAGCTGACATCAGTTCAGTGGTTTAATTGTGCTCATTTGAGAGTTTAAAGGAAATGGTGTACATGCATCTTGAACACATCAAGGACAGCACAAATCAAAGTCGTGCAGACTTGTTTCCATTGTGGTCCTTGGAGGTGCCTGCGACCTCTCTGGGGTTCAGGGATCAGGGATCAGTTGCCTTACCTCCGGGGTCATTCGGCTAATGGTGGGCAAGTCATACCCAGCGCCCAGGAAGTTTGGAGCGTAGACCTGCAGCTGAAAGTCGCTCAGCCATTGGACAACGGCCTCTGAGCTCTACGGGAGAGAAGACAGGGGGCATGCTGTCACTGGCTCCATCTCTGCTTCTTCAACAGCCACTTTTTCTCATCAGGGCCAAGTAGGGCCAAACAGGGGCCACAATTAAGATGCTACAGCAAAGAAATGTTCATCATGTCTGTCAGTTTATAAATATCAAGATTAACTTTAATTTAGTGGGAAATTTGTCCTGGGTTATTCACCCATGCTGCATCAATAAAAGAAATTAGTCACTAATGTCACAGAGAAAAATTCTTACACATTTATGGATCATTATACGATGCTGATGAAGTTGAATAATTAGCCCTGCTTGGCCCTTAAGTGAAAACCAGGCTAAAGGTAGGATGTTGAAAGGCGCTGTCACAGTTTCTCAAATTGCTACAGCAAGAGCCACAGATTAGGAACAGCAGATGAACTGGCTTGAAATTCTTACAGTAGCATGTCAGAGATTAAAATGTCATAGTATAGTACGTTGTCAATAATTACAGAAAAAAACGTCATAGTGCAGTATGCAGCCACAAAACATTAAAAAATGTCATAGTATAGTATGTCGTCTAAAATGATGAAAAAATGTCATAGTATAGTATGTCGTCTAAAATAATGAAAAAAAGTCATAGTATAGTATGTCGTCGAAAATCTTAAAAAATGTCATAGTATAGTATGTCCTCTAAAATCATCAAAAAAAGTCATAGTATAGTATGTCGTCTAAAATAATGAAAAAATGTCATCGTATAGTATGTCGTCGAAAATCTTAAAAAATGTCATAGTATAGTATGTCCTCTAAAATCATCAAAAAAAGTCATAGTATAGTATGTCGTCTAAAATAATGAAAAAATGTCATCGTATAGTATGTCGTCGAAAATCTTAAAAAATGTCATAGTATAGTATGTCCTCTAAAATCATCAAAAAAAGTCATAGTATAGTATGTCGTCTAAAATAATGAAAAAATGTCATCGTATAGTATGTCGTCGAAAATCTTAAAAAATGTCATAGTATAGTATGTCCTCTAAAATCATCAAAAAAAGTCATAGTATAGTATGTCGTCTAAAATAATGAAAAAATGTCATCGTATAGTATGTCGTCGAAAATCTTAAAAAATGTCATAGTATAGTATGTCCTCTAAAATCATCAAAAAAAGTCATAGTATAGTATGTCGTCTAAAATAATGAAAAAAAGTCATAGTATAGCATGTCGTCTAAAATGATGAAAAAATGTCATAGTATAGTATGTTGTCTAAAATCATCAAAAAAAGTCATAGTATAGTATGTTGTCTAAAATAATGAAAAAAAGTCATAGTATAGCATGTCGTCTAAAATCATGAAAAAATGTCATAGTATAGTATGTTGTCTAAAATCATCAAAAAAAGTCATAGTATAGCATGTCGTCTAAAATCATCAAAAAATGTCATAGTATAGTATGTCGTCTAAAATCATCAAAAAAAAGTCATAGTATAGCATGTCCTCTAAAATCATCAAAAAAAGTCATAGTATAGTATGTTGTCTAAAATCATCAAAAAAAGTCATAGTATAGCATGTCGTCTAAAATCATCAAAAAATGTCATAGTATAGTATGTCGTCTAAAATCATCAAAAAAAAGTCATAGTATAGCATGTCCTCTAAAATCATCAAAAAAAGTCATAGTATAGTATGTTGTCTAAAATCATCAAAAAAAGTCATAGTATAGCATGTCGTCTAAAATCATCAAAAAATGTCATAGTATAGTATGTCGTCTAAAATCATCAAAAAAAAGTCATAGTATAGCATGTCCTCTAAAATCATCAAAAAAAGTCATAGTATAGTATGTTGTCTAAAATCATCAAAAAAAGTCATAGTATAGCATGTCGTCTAAAATCATCAAAAAATGTCATAGTATAGTATGTCGTCTAAAATCATCAAAAAAAGTCATAGTATAG